CCCCAAAACCCCAAAACCCCAAAACCCCAAATAACTTTCTGGAAGGATTAATTATTCTATATATTAATTTGTAACAACATGAGCGAATCTGAACTATTTCCTGAAGCCACTAAATTCACATATGCCAACACTGATGGATACCAGAAAGACAGAATATTTGATCCTTACACGTACAGACACAACTACGATGAGGACCAGTTAGAGACTCTCTTGTCTAAATATGTAACAGAAACTCATAATGTTGAGGAAATATGAGTTTATCTCCTTGATGGAGTTCATTCGAATAAATTTTTGTCCAAGTACGAAGATGGCCTAGGCTTTTGTGGAGCTAGGATCCGTACTTTTAGAACCCTACATGAAATCATCTACTTTAATGTTAAGAATTATTTTGATTTTGAGGCTGAACCAGAGGATTTCATGTCAAGGAAAATGCCTGGGCTTTTAGATAGCCAAAACGCCCAGAGTCTAATGAGTCTGAAGCATAGAGAGAGAAATCTCACTGCTGTAGAGAGATGCTTTGGAGATAAGCAATTTGCACTCGATAGGATTGAAATCTTAACCCAGGAGTTTCAGTTTATGGACTTAACCGTACTGACAAGTTTTTACAAGGGCTCTAAATTGATAAACGTCTCAGCAACGACGACTGTTCTTAAATGATTGGATGAATTATTTTTAAAGATAGATGAGGCATTTGCCACACTTCAGAAAAAGGACACTAGAGAAAACAATAAAATTGTATTTAGTCTGATAATGAAGCTTTCCTGATGCTTTGATTTTCTTTATTCATCCATGATCTGTAACCCTAATAGCATCTATTTCTCAATAGAAGAGGATTCCTTCCTTGAGGATGCTCTTGAATTTGTCGATGTTGAAGACCCCGAGGAGTACTGGAGACTTGCTGATGAAGGATACTTTGAGATAGGAAAAATTATTGGAGTTGCTTCACGAACATTTAAACACAAAAGTAAAGTTAGACAGTTTATCTCCTTCATCGGCTGGATGCCATTCTACTTCCTGTTTAATCGTAAGAAAGGATCTGCTCAAGGGTTTTTCTTCATGAACGTTTTAAACAAAAATGTTTTTAGAAGGATGAATGCTATTTATGAGATGAGCACATACAAGAAAGTTTTGAAACTGGCCAGCCCAAAAATTGAGATGGAAGTTAAAATTTATATAACCATGCCTGAGCAAGATTGTCTGACTGTTAAAAAGAACTTGATTAATAAATAAAGCACCATTGATGGTTAGAAATAATATTGATGCTCCATTCGTAGTAGAACAAAGAAATTATGATCCATCTGAACTTATAAAAATACGAATTATCTCAACGGACAAATGGGATCATATTGATTGGAAAACTGGCGAATTGGTAGATCCTGATTGAGAAATAAAGCATTACCCTGTTGGATTACTATTTATTCATGGAGGAGCTTTTATATCTGGATCGTCAAGCTCATACCAAAACATCCTTAAATAAATATGCCCTAGAAACGAGGCATCCAGTCTTTGCTGTAGATTATAGACTTGCTCCAGATCATCCTTATCCTATTCCTCTAAGCGATTGATGGCTTTCATATCTTTGGTTAAGGTACTACTCTGAAAAATATCTAAAAGTTAAATTCGATAAAATAATCCTTGTAGGAGATTCAGCGGGAGGCTGAATTTCCCTTTCTATTTGTACTCTTGCTATCAGAAAGCAAGTTGCCAAACCAGATGGAATGGTGCTAGCCTATCCAGGAACTTGTTTAGATAGGAGATACTTCACACCATCCTGAATGATGTCTTTGGATGAACCATACCTTAACGCATTCCTAATAGACTTGTGATTAAAGAGCTATGTTGAAGATTATAGTATTTCCGGGCATTATTTATGATCTCCTTTATTCACTCCAAAGAAATACCTAAAAGAAATGCCTCCGACTAGAGTTGGAATCGCAGGTATAGATCCCCTGCGAGATGCAGGTATTGAACTAATCAGAAATTTTGTAAAAGCTGGTGTTAACTGAACAGGAAAAGTCTACAAGCAGCTCTTCCATGGCTATCTTGAAATGGACTCCTATCCATTCTACATGAAAGACTGTGAGAAGGCTTTCATGGACACAGTGGAATTTATTGAAGAAATTATCAGTGTTTGGTAAAATAAAACCCCTCTTTGTTTCAATATTTAAAAAAATATTTGGGGTTTTGGGGTTTTGGGGTTTTGGGGTTTTGGGG